AGGGAGAGGTAGAGGTAGAGAGATATAGGTCATCCATGCTGTCCTTTGGTCCCGGTTCCTTGTTCCGGTGCCCCGCTGAGTGCTTGTGTTCTTTTCCCTTCTCTGGCCCCTTCTTCTTCCCTCGGCTTCTCCGGATTCCGGTTATTAGCAGGGCAGTTGTGGCACATGGAAGAGAGTCAGAGAGTCAGAGAGTCAGAGAGTCAGACAGACACACATTTAGATACCAAACTGTCGGTGTCTTGGAAGGGAATGGAAGGGAACGGGCGCACATGTTCTGTCCCCGTACTAAACAGCGAGAGCAACACCCCTTAAGAATAAGTTACCGCCGTCCAGTGCATTCGCCGGACAACAGTTTGAGTTTGAGTTTGTTGGAGAGAGAGGGAACAAATAAAATAAAATAAAATAAAAAGGGGGGGACCGTCATCAGATAAGAAGACGCACTGTGGAGCAGGTCCCTTAATTAAACGAGGCATTAAAAAGCACACGCTCACGCGCTAGCGCACACACAACCAACCGTCTTTCTCTTTCTGGTCGGACGAAAATGAATAAACTCCGGTGGATGACTGGACTAAGTCCAACGGAACTACAACAGACACTCACACTCATTACTCCACATTTTAAACTTTTCTGAAATACAGAAAAAAAAACAGAGCAGACGAGACGGGTAGGGTTATAACACAATTTTTCTTACTTCTTTCTCGGATATCTTCCTATACGGTCATCTCATTCTTGCTGAACTCAATTTTTAACGGTTGGCCAAAAAACGGTTCTCCGTTGAGCGTGATTCGCGCTAAGTTGGCTTCGTCAGGTGTGCTCATTCTGATAAACGCCTGACCTCGCAACTGCCGACCGTCCAAACGGATATCGATCACTTCACCATACATCGAGAACAACAAGAACAAATTGCTTCGCAATTTGTCCATTCCAATTCCATCACTAAGATTATGGATATACAATGTACTTTTGGCTTCCATTACTGCAGCAGTGTAGTTTAGTTTAGTTTAGTTTAGTTTCGATCGATTGGCTATTGTCTATCTATAGCAGGTATGGTATGGTATGGTATGGTATGGTATGGTATTACACGCTCTGTTATATTTTCATATCCATTTATGCTTATATATATATATATGTATACGTATATGGATATGTGTTTGTCTGTTTCTTTGGGAAAATACCAGTTCCAGTTGCCACCAAGCCAAAAGAAATGAAGTAAATGTAAAATGTAAAAAGTAAAAAAAATAAAAAAAAAGAAGACAAATACAAAATATCCGAAATGGAGTGCTTGGTCACGTGACTAGGTTTCGATCCAAACCACAAGAGCCACGGGTCACCTACCGTTTCACACCAAGCGCCCTCTCTCTGGATTGTCTTATTGAAGTTAACCTCCATGAATTTTGATCCTTCGAATACCTATTATGCAATGGCACTATCTTCGCCCTCTTACGAGAATTACTATTAACATCCATCTCTTTATAAAAATGAGGCGCACTTTCAATCAACCATTTAGGTTCAATCGCAAGCACTTGTGACATATACTCTCGACTCGTCATTACCAAACTATGGTATATCACATATTCATACTCTCTTCCAAATAATGAACTCGACGGATGGATCTCAACGGAATTATTACCATGGATCGTCTTATACTCTTGTCCATCTCGTTTGGCGGCATTCAGGAAAAATCCATTAACAAGAGCCCTTCTGATACTATCGATATCACTGCAATTGTTACCACTCTTCCATAACTTCATCCCTTCCAGGATCCCTCTCAATTGCTTTCCAATATCCCTAGCCCGGAGTAAATGCTTGTAATGTAAGTAATTCATTTCGCAAAATTGTTCACTATATCTAGTTTGTTCCCATCTCTTATACACGTTAAGTAGTGTTAGATGGTCGCCATATGGATGGAAAAACTTCATTTTCTTCTGATCTGCCTCTTGTTGGTGTTCCTTGGGCCTGTAGAATACACTTTGAATAGAAATCATCGAGATGATAATAACAATCTCTTCAACACAATTGTTACTTACGGAACTCAACAAAGATCGTGATAACGACGGATCTGTTGGAAATTGAGACATATGCTGCCCTAATTCTGTCAGTTGTCCTTCATCACCCAATGCTCCTAGGTTATACAATTGCTCCATAGCTCCAATCATTAATGCACGAGGTGGTGCGTCCATGAACTCAAAATTGATAACATCTTCAATACCCATAGCTTTCAACATTAATATTGTATGTGATAGGTTCTGTCTTTGAATTTCAGGTACACTATTAGGAGACATCTCATTGTAAAAAGCAGATTCGGTGTATAATCTGTAACATTTACCGGGTCCTGTTCTACCAGCACGCCCTTTTCTCTGGTTGGCCTGGGCTTGCGATATAGGCTTTACTACCAACTGTTCCATACCGGTTTTAGGATTAAAAATATTAATCTTGGAAAACCCAGGATCAATGACATAGTAGATACCATCAATCGTAATAGACGTTTCAGCAATATTTGTCGCAAATACTACTTTTCTTTGACCTTCTTGTGTCGGTTCAAATATTTTGGATTGGATTTCACTTGGTAGAGCAGAATAAACGGGTAGAATTAGCAACTCCCCAATGGTATCCCCCAACTCCTTTACACGTGAATACAACATTTCACAACATGAATCGATTTCTTCTTGACCTGTAAGAAATACCAGAACATCACCTGGACCCTCATTAATATGTATCTCCATTACAGAGTCCAATGCTGCCTCAATGTAATCCATTTGAGGAGCTTGTGCATAAAATACTTCGACAGGGAACGTCTTACCAGGAATGTTTATTACTGGGCAATTACCAAAATATTCAGAAAATTTCGCAGAATCTAACGTTGCACTTGTCACTATAACTTTTAAGTCAGGACGCTGACTGGCAGCTTTCTTTAACAATGCAAATAACACATCAGTTGCTACCGTACGTTCATGTGCTTCATCCAACATGATTACGGAGTATTTGGACATTACGGGATCTGATAATGCCTCAATTTGTAATATACCATCGGTCATATATTTAATTCGAGTCTTTTGATTAGTTACGTCTTCAAATCTGATTGTATACCCAACTTCATTACCTATTTTACAACCGAACTCTTCTGCAACTCTATTTGCGACAGAAACAGCGGCAACACGACGTGGTTGAGTACACCCAATTATCCCAGTATCACCAAACCCTTCATCATATAGATATTGGGTTATTTGTGTAGTCTTACCTGAACCTGTTTCACCTACAATGACTAAAAATTGATTATTTTTCACAGCATCCATTAGTTGTGATTTCATTTTATACACTGGCAGCGACTGCCTTTGTGAACTTATAGGTAATACGGTTCTTTTACCATAGGAAATTCTTTCTCTCATACGATTCCTTTCCCATGCTGTTAATACCAACTGTTGTCTTAGTTCATCTATTTCACGAAATTTTTCTCTAGGATTCTTAGTAGGATCATCCATACTCAGTTTCTTCCTAATCTCTTTTTCTATTTCTTTCTTCTTCTTGAATTTAGTTTCACGGTGATCTTTGATTAAATTAGAACCATACATAGCAGCTCTATTCATAGAACCTTTAGGAATTTTCATAATTTTAGGCATTTCGAAACGTTTAGATTGGGATGAGAGTTCACCCTTTAAAAATGGAGCCTTGTCATCAGTGTTTAATTCAATGTCGATAAATTCCTCTTCTTCTTCGACCTCTTCAGCTTCATTTTTGCCAATCATGGTTTTACTTACACTTTCAGAGTTTTCTAAATTGTCCTCTAATAATTCTGGATAATCATTAATATCAGCAGCACCACTGGCAATCAATTGTTGGATTTCCCATCTCTCTGGTGATGTTAGCTTTCTCCTTTTAATCTTGGTATTTGGTATGTTGGTACTTCTTCCTCTATCATCATTTTTAAAAGTATCATCTTTCGATGTTGCTTTTATATTTAAGTCACGACCTGTTTTTTGATCTACTTCTTTCATGCTTAAAGATATTTTACCATTTCTTTGAACTTTAATTACTTTTATGTAAACAATCTGATTGACACTTATAATTTCATAAGGATCATTTATGTGATGTTGTGATAATTGAGATATATGGACTAATCCATCACAATTTATCTTTTTGGTCCCCAAAATTTGAACGAAACAACCAAATGATGTTATGCTTCTTACCTTACCTTTATAAATCTTATTTACAATTGGAGACTCGTCTAAAAATGGATTACTTGTAATACTTTCGGGAAATTCATCTTTTCTTTGAATATTCATATATTCAAATCTATCATTATGAACTTTATTTAACTTGGCCTTCTCACTACTTTCGAATTTTTTTTCTTCCTCTAATGCTTCTAATTTAATTTCATTTGTAGTATTGAGTAAGTTATAAATTTTAACTATAATTTCTCTAGTTAAACCAACATCCAATTCATTCATTTTCCTCTCAAAATCCGTTAAAGAAAAACAGCTTTGCAATATATTTAATACAAACTCTGTGACAACATTATCACTAATATTCAACTCTGAATCAAGCACTTTAGATATTTCTCTTTTAACATTACTATCAGAAGTTGATAACAACCTGTACAATTTCTTGATACTTTCATTTGACAACCCAATATCTAAATCGGTTATTCTATGTTGGAAATCATCGGCAGTATGGCACTTACTCCTAATATCCTTGACAAAGTTCAAAACCACAGGATCATCGATACCTATAATTTTTGATACTTCGATGTCTGTCTCATTTGGCATATTATATATAAACTCAAAGTTAATGCTTCTTTTATAGTAAAACCCCAAAAATAAAAAAGAATAACAACGATAGACACCTTATTTGCAAATAGTAACTTTGTAGTCAGTATAAACTATCCAACCTAACCTCAGATACTAACTGTATTCCGTTTATATTTCACCTCATCTCATCTCATCTCATCGTATTGCTGTGACTACAAATGTTCCCACTTTTTAAAATAATATTTCGATCTGATATTAGAAGAGGAAAATAGTATCCGTAACGTATGATTAAGAAGGGGAGGAAGAATAAAAGTATTATGAAAGGTGATGGAACTAAGAACAATAAAGGTTAATAAGATAGTTTATATTAATCATGAGCTGTCAGTATGATTCGTTATAATTTAATTAGTTATATAAAATCTAAATATTCTCTTTTTATACACTACCAATTCATTTATTCATTTGATTATCTGTTTTTCCTTTGATTCTAATTAGGTTCAATTGATATAAATTTTGGGAGTAGGTTTGAGAAAGTGCAATTTGTGAAGTACCCATTTAACGATAAGGAGGAAGATTATATTATATCTTTTTGTTTTCTTTTCTGATTTCTATGTTTTTGGATTTGAATTTGGTTTGATCTCTCTTCAATAATTTTCAACTTCTCTGATACCGTCTTTATCTACAACTTTCACTATTACACCTTTGAAATCTACAGGCATTCTTTTATCCAATTCTGCGATACATAATTTTAGTAACTTCAAACCTTCTTCAAGTGACATATCTGGTCTGTAATGATGATCTAATAATGAAAAGGTATAGAAACCCGAATAACCATGTGCAGCATAAGGTAATTCGACTTTTGTACCTAAATAGTCGATTTGATATAATTCAGGCTTTGCGTTTTTGGTATCATAACCACCGATTAACACATTTACTTGATAAGGCTTTCTTGACCTTAAAGATTTGGCCAATTCTTTTCTTACAAAACTAGAAACGGCATGGGGAGTCAATTCATAATTTTCTCTTATGGAATATAATTGGATATTAGCTTGAATGTATTCAGCAAATTGGACTGTATCACCAGCTTCACCTGTAAATGACATTAAAATGTGCTTTGATAATTCTCTACTTTTATCATCAGTATCCTTTAAAATAGAAATACCTCTAGTGACAGCTTTTGAAGTAGCCAAAATAACACTATCTCTAACCTTAATACCTAAAATAATATCCATATCTGTTTTTGTATAATTATTGTATTTATGTATATGAATAGCGTCCTAATTTAAACTATCTTGTAATTCAGTTTCTCACTAGAGATAGAGATGATCGATTCCCTTTTTAATTAGAATAAAATGAACCTAAAAAAAAAATTCAAAACGCTTGCTTCAGATACAATTAAATAAACCGTTTATAGAAGCCAACTCTGGTACAGAAATGTTTAGTATAGCTATGAATTGAGTCCATTAGGCCACTTACAATCATCAATTATTTCAAATATCTAATTAGTTTTATCCTTATATATATGTTTAAAGTTTGCCACCTTCAAACTTTCAAAGTTTCGAATTTTTGAAACTTTTTGGGAAATATAGATGGTATGTCATGTGCTTTATTTACCCTCGTTGTGTCATGTGATATACACGTGATGTGACACGAAACGCGTAAAGAATTAAATTATTAAAAAATTTAATTTGAACTTAATAGTATATAAAAAGAAGAGATCCATTTTATAAGATGATCTCACCGTCTTCAGTATTTATTGGGTATGTCAATCTCAGTTTGTTTATAAGTGGCCAAAGCTAGCAATCATTGGTAATTGTATCTCTGGTGTAGATATAGTTTTTATAACAAGAAATATGACCAACTCTACTACGAACAATGGTGTAGCAGGCGGTGGGATCAGTTCTGAAGATATGAGATATTATTATCAATTTCTCTTCCCATTCAAACCTATCTTCAATTGGTTGAATCATTCTCCAAAGCCAAGTATAGATATTATTAATAGAGAATTTGCGATGGCATTTAGATCTGGTGCTTATAAAAGATACAATTCCTTCTCGAATGTACAAGAATTTAAAGCTCAGATAGAGAGAGCCAATCCTGACAGATTTGAAATTGGTGCTATATATAATAAACCTCCAAAGGATAGGGATAGTATATTGAAGACTGAAATGAAACCCTTGGAAAAGGAATTGGTGTTCGATATTGATATGGATGATTATGATACTTACAGAACATGTTGTTCTGGTGCTCAGGTTTGTAATAAATGTTGGAAATTTATTACTTTAGCGATGAAAGTTATGGAGGTCACATTGAAGGAAGATTTTGGTTTCAATGATTTTATTTGGGTTTTTTCTGGTAGACGTGGTGCCCATTGTTGGATAAGTGATAAGAGAGCAAGAATAATGAATGATCTACAGAGGAAAAATGTTTTAGACTATGTTAACGTAGTAAGAGACCGTAATGCTGATAAAAGACTGTCTTTGAAAAGACCTTATCATCCACATTTATCGAGATCATTAGATATTTTAAAGCCGTACTTTGTTTCAATTATAATAGAAGAACAAAATCCATGGGAAAATGATAAACACGCTTTTGATACTCTATTAACAGCTCTTCATGATAAACAACTAATTGATGCCTTGAAAAAATACTGGACTGATAATCCAAATAGATCTAGTAGGCAAAAATGGAGTGATATTGACGAAATTGCTTCAACTTTAAAGATTTCAAGAAAACAAGAATTCGTAAATAGATTAAAAGAATGTAAGGAAGATTTAGTCCTTGCAACACTATATCCTAAATTAGATGTTGAAGTCACAAAGCAAACTATCCATTTGTTGAAATCTCCATTTTGTATTCATCCTTCTACCGGTAACGTTTGTGTGCCGATTGTTGACGGTTTTACACCAGATGCAGCTCCAAAATTGATTAAATTACAATCTGAAATGGAAAGTAATAACAATGATGTCGAGCAAACATCCTTACAGCCATTTATTGAGATATTTCAAAAATTTGTAAACCAAGTTATTAAAAATGAAATAGGTTCTGTAAAGAGAGAACGTGATGAAGATGGATATGATGATGATAAAACAAAACTGGAATTTTAAATATAAATAAATTGTTCGTCACTTCCATAATTTCAGTTAATAATCCATATATTTATGTAATAATATAAATCTAATGCATTCTTAAATAATATTTGAAAATTTTAACCAGTTTCAGGTTATTGTACATCCGACAATATTATCATTCCTAATACTTGTGGAAATTTTGGTTTCCTCATTATTGTTGAATTTTGACTTATCCATCGATATTTCTAATTTTTGTTGGCCTTGATCATGATACCATTTTAAAATTTGATGCTTAGGGTCAAAAGAAAACTTTCCAGAAGATGAGTGAATAGTCACATCTCTCAATGGGAAATGATAATGAGGCAAAAATATCTTTGATGGTTTCGAAGTAATTTTTTTATCACTACCAATGATCTTCAACACATATGTTTTATTATCAAAATTAAATTCTGCATCTACAAATTCACCATTGATTTTTAATGGATACGGTCTTAAAATTGCATCAATGGCTCGGAATCCATTATAATCAAATTTCAATTCTTTGGCATCTTGTAAACATTGATGAATATCACCTGTTCCAGGAGATATTGGTATCATTATGCACTCGTTAGTAAAGTGAGTTTGATGATATTCACTGGTTGCTTTTACACAACCTCTATGAAGATCGTCGTTTGACCAAATTGAGAAATCCTCATTATTCCAATTATCACCCCAGTCATGGGAATTTTGATGGCAGTAACACCATATACTGTATGATAGGTTGTTACCTTCTAATGCAAATTGTAGTGCATCCAAAGCAGCTGTCTGTGTCGTATAACATCCATCTTTGTAGGCTTTCCTGTTATCCATATCGAATGGCATTCCAATTTCTGTTAAAAATACGGGGACACTTGGACCAAGGAATTTCTTAGACTCATCTTTCATTTCTTTTAATTGTCTTCTTATTGATTTTCTTATATTTGATTCTCCAAATACAAGTGCTAGTATAGGGCTCATGTATTTGTGACGCATAATACCAAAAGTGTCAGCGTTGTATCTCCGGTTCCATGTTTTGAACATTAGCGACATGCCATCATAAAAGTGACACGCATAAACTGTTCTAGAATCTACAAGATCAGAATTGATAATTTTTGGAGGTTGCTTTAGAACAGGTGGTTGTAGAAAGAGTAGTAATTCCTTATTTCTTTTTCTCATCTCCGAATGGAATAGTCTATAATATTCAAGAAACTGATTGTTTATAAAATAAGTTTCATCCATTTCTATTGTATTATTGTTTTCCATGGTAGCATTTGAAAAATAATTCGGTTTCAGTAATATGGGCATTCCATTTGGTAAAATATCCCAAACTTTATGTATTCTCCATATACATCTTGATGGAACCCATTCAGCACCTCGTACCCAATTGAATTTCTTATCAATAAGAGTTCGATCTATTTGTGAAAGCCAAGCTTTGACACCTTTAGGGTCAATTTTTTTGGTACCCTTTTTCTGGGGTCCTAATAAAGTTAGATTATATACATCTACAATTGTTGCCATACCCTCTCCTAAAATCAAACTTTGAAACCCTGTTGGAGTGGAACCCATTTTGAAATATCTGTCCTTTGGTATGATATTTAGATTTTTTTCCCCAATGAACCCGGGATTAGGTTCGTTTATAGACTCAAACCCAATAATGCAGTTATTTGCCAATAATTCATCGCCTTTTAATGAAATTCTGTCATATAATTCCATAAATGCATCAACAAATTTTCCTTGTAAATAGTCTTGAATGTTCATTCCATTAATTATACACTTGGGTGCTAATGTTTTACCTGCAAAAAATAAGGTGAACATAGTTTGACAAGCTAGTTTTGTATAATTAGATGGCCATAACATTTTGGGGTATTTTTTATCGTTACGTTCTTTCCCATCTCTAGAATCAATATAATGATTATGCAATATTGCAGCTTCTGTTGATTTAAAATGTTTTGGATTCAATCCTGCACAATATAAAGTCCATAATGGAGCACCAGATCCTCCACAAAATCTTGACCAAACATCTTGATGGGGATCTATATAAACATAAATTCCACCTAAATTATTTATAATTTTCAAAAGATCAATAATATAATCCATATATTTATAATCATAGATGCCAGGACCCTCATGTTCAATAGCTTCCCAAGGAATTGGAAGTCTGATTGTATTGTAACCCAATGATTTGATCCTGTTTATATGGTCTTCGACGTTATTCAAGGGCAACGGATGGTTGATGAAACTTAATGGTTTGGTTGGATTGTAAAAAGATGTAGAAAACTCATTATTAATTGGTAAATGGGTGGCTTGAAATGGAGAAGATGGAATCTTTACTGAGGGGTCCAAATTAACACCTCTCAATTGTATGATATTTCCATGAGTGTCACAAAATTCTCCTGTTGAAGATATATATATTTTTTCTGGCATAATAATAACTATAATAATACCAATAAATTTTGAAATTCTCTATATAACTCAATATTTATTTAATTATTCCTTTAAATATTGTTATTATTTATACTGCTTGAATATGATTATTAAAATAGTAAAGTATTTTGTAAATATGTTGCGTATGCAGTTCTTATTTGAGAATCAAATGACACTAAAAGAAAAAGTCACATCTTTAGATTCAATACATCTGCAAAGTATAATGTCTTTTTTATTTAATTTTCTTAGATAAGATATAAGAAGAAAAAAGTGTATGAATAATATTATCAACAAAAATGAAAAGAGCTTCGAGAATGAGGATATAATAAAATTCATTGGATATTATAAAACTCAAAAAAATTAAACAAATAAAACTAGTTGGAGCGTAAAACTGATATTATAATATATAACAATACACAATGACAGCACAAAATGGTAACTTGTTACTTTAAAGATTCTTGATAGACTCGAACTTCATTTTTTGACATACTAATACTAATTTTAGTGGCACATAAAAGTAAAATGAAAACAAAAAAATAAACTCCGATACGGGGAGTCGAACCCCGGTCTCCACGGTGAAAGCGTGATGTGATAGCCGTTACACTATATCGGATAGTAATTTGTTGAATTTTTTAAAACCACTTTTGACCACTTTCGAAAGTTTATGTACTGATTCATATTTATATACATGTGATTCTCACATGATCTACTTTTCAAATCACTGTAAATTGCTATTATTTGCCCAAATTAAGAACGTCACATATTTCTTACATAAGAATACACTACTATGGAGAATAAACGACTTGTGTTATATTTTTTTCCATGTTTGATCTACTTTCAGTAATTGTAAAAATTACAACTCATCATTATCTTTAAATTCGTTTAACCAACAACGATTATTTCAATATATTATTTATTGTAATCATATTATTCATAGGCTTACTTTTTAAATGGATAGTATTCCAATGATATTATCATACCGATAGGAATTTAGAAGTCTTGATTTGCATCGATTCTTACATAAGCTCGATGAGAGTGTGCTAATCGATAGCAAAGCAGATCTAATGAAATAGAATTGTATATATTGAACTACTTTGAATAAGAATCACAACTTTGTAAGGTAGAATATTGAATCTAAACGATTCTACTACCGCCGTGGTTCATGAAACAACAGGAATATGGTGAAGCGAATCGCTCTGTGGTAATTTGCTTTACCATGGTATTATTGTGATAAACAAAAGGGAAATGGATTTATAATCATCGCAACTATTGACATAGGCGGGTTTTGGACGTTGGTCAGTAAACGAGAAGTATCATAATTTTTGTAGACGTTTGATGTTGGCATTTGTAACTATATCGTTTCTTATTCTGATTTCGAGAGTTAAGAATTAGCAATGGGTAATATTGCAAAGACGTAATCTCCAAGAAACATCTAAGTAATAAACTAGATTTGTATCAAGGGCATTGATTATTTATCTTTCCTAAATCGGGCTTGGAAGAAGATAAACAGGAATCTAGAGGTCCACTTACTGTAAATGTAGAATAATGCAATGGTTTGTCATTGCAATTAGTATGTACGATATATAAACATAATGTAGTATATAAAATTGAGGTGATATTATGTATGGATTTCTGCTTTAGTAAGGTGACTTAATCCGGCCATTGCCTTAAACGCAAGTATGACTGTGTCTATATGATGATATGATTGGAAAAGACGAAAATCAACATCGCACGTGACTATCCAATAATACATAATAATATATGCCCGTTCGAAAAGTGATTTCAACGTTTATTAGTTAAGCCGTAAGAGCAAAAGAACATAAAATGCGGTGATTTCGGTCGGTTACTAACTTAAAACTGAAATGGTTTTACCGTTTTTAACAGTCCCACCTTTAAAACTCTTACTATTCTTGCCTATCATGATGATGATATGATATGGTTGAACGAAGAGATGGAGAAGTAAGATCAACCATGTGATATCAACCATCAATATCACGAGCTCAGTAAAAACGCTCTAGAAAAAATGAAATAAAGGAAACCAGAACTGGGTCTGCGTCTGCGTCCATTCTCAGCCTTGTTCAGTTGCCGTCTTGAAGATACGCCAATTCTTTGTCAATTTCACTTTCTCACTTCCTTTCCTCCTCTTTAAAGAGGGAGACAAAGAGAAGCGATTCTTAAGCATCCCGTTCATCTCCTTGTACGGTGGAGATGCAGATGCAACACGAACACGAAAAGAATATAGGATGTTACGCTAAACAAGAGGCAGGAGAAACAAGAGAAAATAAAAAGGAACGCGTGTCTCCGTAGTAGTTGCGCATATAAATCGCGCAACAGCTGGCGGAGGTGCCAAGCAAACCCGCACAGGCTTCTTTATTTCTTTTTCCTTGCTTTTTTTCCCGCTGCTCTGTCATTATCACTGGCATAGTTCAATGTCGCGACGGCCCAAGCCGGGATGGACCCGTAGCCAGCCAAAAAAAGAAAAAAGGAAATATCCAGGTTTCGCAAGAATCTCTCTGTCTTCCTTCCACCTACTGTTTTCTTACCGCCAATGATAAACAAGTGTATATACTCAATTTACGAACATGTTTGTAAATTATCATATACAAAAATCCCTTTGCTCAATATAACCACTTTCAAGCCTGTCGACTACTTGGCAAAATGCCTTCACAATGTCCTCTTCATTATTAACTACAAATCACAACTGCCCGATGTCAGGTTGTCTGTAACTGTCAGTTCACTCCAATTCAGTTCATCGCCTCACACTGTCTAATCAAATACAAGAAAATACAAGAAAATACAAGACAATACAATTCCAGAAAATAATATGCATGCATTCTTTAAAAACAAAAAAAGAAATTAGAAAAAGAAAAAAGCAATATAGTATCGATGTGCTGTGCCTCTCCCTTTGTGGGCCTCGTACACAGGGATATATATCCTAGTAACAGAAAATACTACAGGAGACCTTTCGAAATGCTTCACCGTAACGTATAATCTTATCATATATTATATAATACAATATATCTCTCTCTGTGTTTCTCCGATACTACCCACCAACTCTGCTTTTAAGTTTCATGCAAACATTAGTTAATTTACCCGTTCTATAATTATCCTCTCCTATCCCATCCCATCTTGCTCCCTCCAAGAACTTCTTCTCTATTTTTGGTAATTTTCAAAAAAAAAATCATTTCAAAAATCTGCAAAGCAAGGAAATCCAGAAAAGAAAGAAACGGAGGTAGTCTATTAGATGCACAGATATTCTCACTCTCTCTATCTATATAAATATCCTCGACTAGACTAGACTAGACTAGACTAAGCTATACTACACGAGACTCTCTGATAAACTCTGTCCAAAAATAAAAATAGTCTTTTTTCACCAACCTGTTAAATTAAGATAAATTCAGATACACATTTCTCTCTCTACCCACTTTTCACTGAAGAAATCGGTTCTTTTAACAGTAAATTTTGTTTCGACAATTTTTCATCACTTCTTCTCGAACTTGATTTTTTTATTTTTTCCTTTGATTCTTTCTCAGTACAAGATTTCTTTGATATTTTCGACATTTGATCGATTTTATCATGGCTTCTCTGTAAGCTAGCTAGCTAGCTATCTATTTCAATTTTTGGAAAAAAAAAAGTATCATCCATTGATTGATTTATCTCTCTCTCTCTATCTCTCTTTTTATTCATTAAAATCATAATACTTTACTTAAAAACTATATACACTCTAGTTTTTAATCTTTTTAATATCAAGATAGATATATTCAAATGACCAAACACCAAAGTGTATATATCCTATTAGAAGATTAATTACCATTACTTTTACTTTTACTTTTACATTCGCTTGGCTCTGCCCCTTAGTTAAAGAGAGATACTTTTATATCAATAGAACAAGTTCTGTTTCAAATTGATATTTGAATATACAAGATACTTTCACCTATTCTCATAGTTAGTTTTTATTGTTGCTATTGTTATTCAAATCAAAAAAAAACATATATACATATACACAATTATATCAGTATGATTCCTTTCGTTTCCTTACTCCTTCTAGTGATACCACATTTATCTTCGATAGTACTCGCTGCAGATGGTTACACATTATTGAATTGTTATGGTTCGTTACCATCAGGTTTCACCTTCAGTAATCAAAATGTATATCAATCATCCCAATATTGTTACGATCAATGTTCGAATTCAGGTTATAGTTATTTTGCATTATTTAATCATGGTTCATGTTATTGTGGTAATACTGATCCTTCATCTTTATCAACTTCAAGCTCTTGTGATGCTTATTGTAATGGTTATAAACAAGAGATGTGTGGGGGTACTAGTGCATACTCCATTTACAGAATCGGTAATGGAAATTCAAATAATAATGCTCAATCCTCGAGTTCTTCTACAAACAGTGGAAGAAACGCTGGTACTTCAAGTTCTACTTCCTCCTCGACATCAACGACTTCTAATAATTTGGTAGGTGTTGGTAACGTGGCTGGTAGTTCTTCATCTTCACCTTCTTCAGCCTCAACTTCACAGACAACAACTTTATTTCCAGCTTCCTCGTTGAGTGGTGATGGTAGTAGTGGTGATTCTGCTTCTACAGGAGATGAGACAACTGCTAATGAAAACACATCTGCGACCGATGGAAATAATGAAGTTACCTCTGTGATTTATTCAACTGCTTATCATACTGAAGGTGGCTCGACAATCTATATTACAAATACTATTACACAAGTAGAGAATACGTCTTCAGCAACAGCATCCTCAGGCTCGGATTCAGATCCAAACTCAGCTTCTACATCTGGTAATAACTCTAAGAAGACCAATGTTGGTGCAATTGTCGGTGGTGTCGTAGGTGGTGTAGGTGGTGCTATAGCAGTTACCGTTATAGTATTACTTATTATCAGAAACATTAACAAGAGACGTGAAGAAGAAAGAATGGAAAAGGAATATCAAGAAGCCATTAAACCGGTGGAGTATAGTAACAATAGTGTATTTTCCAAGAACACAGACGATCATAATAATAATAATAATAACAGTGATTTCTACTCATCTTCAGTATCGTCACATAGAAACCTCCAAGTAGATGGCGATGCGAACGCTAATACATCAGAGGATCCATTTGATGATTCAAGACGTATAAGTATAGGATCCGTATTTGAAACTGGGAAAGGTAATAAAGTATTAACGGTGGTAAACCCTGATGAAGAAGGATAATCATATTGCATTTATCCTTCACATATAACCAAAAAAACGTGATCATTATTACTTAAACAATCAATAATACAAGATTGTTTAATTACATAAAAAGAACTTTTTTTGCCCCAAAAATTTAATATTCGAATGATATAAACAAACCTATTGTTGACCATTTTCTAATAATGATACAATAAAAACCAATAAACTTTAAATTCTTCCTAAAGAAAAGAAATTTTAGAGAATGAAAGATGTCATCGATGGTTAATACTTATATGAACCATCACCCCTTTAACGATTTATTTACCTATTATCCCCAATTAACTTTATTATAATAATTTATACCCCCTCCCCTCCCCTCCCTTTCCATCAACCACACATTGCACGCATATCAAAGGTTTTATTAATTTAAACTGTATAAATAAAACACATACAAACATTAATAAACATTTTTATACTAGTATTAATTAGCAATTTATTTCAAAGTCCTGAAGGAAATGAAGATGAAAAATAAGAGTCCTAAATTTAAATTGGCAACAAGACTTTGTATCCATTCAGATTACTTTCAGTGCCAGACGTTATTTCAATTTCTTGCTTAACCATACCATTTCATTTTGTTTTTTTGTTCTTAATAAAAGTGAGCTATACTAAGAGGCTAAATGACAAATAAAAGAAAAATTGTTTAAACACAATTTTTGGTCTCCCCAACTACACTGCATTTGTAAACTTGAAGATAATAAACTTCAATGGAATCAAAAGACTGTCATTAAATAGTAATTTATCAGTCACTCTGTCAGTCTGTCACTCCAGAGTTCCGACCATTAAATATATCAGATTATACATATATATAGTCATTATTAACGAATACGTTAAATGCTGAAATTTAATTTCGAATCGAAGAGCAAAAAAAGAAAAAGGTTAAAAATGTCGAACAAATGAAAAATTGGAAACAAGGAGACTTTAAGAAAAAAATTATATAATTAATAAACCTTATTCGTTGCTAATTAAGTTTTTAAAATCGAGCTTTTAATTAACAATATATTTTAGCAATTGGATCAATCTCTATAAAAATAGGCATTCTACTTAAATTGGTTTTGTCTGAGATACAAGTTGTTGAGAACTCGGTCAGCCTCATTTCATAATATTAGAAGAAGATTACATTAAATTTTATTATTAATCCAAGGAATATAAAGAGAAGACTATGTCAGAATTTCATTCAGTTGCTAGTACTGCTGATTTATCAAAATATATGTATGGTGTTCCGAAGGAGGAGGAATCTATTTTAAAATATTTACTTGATGTTAGAGCTCAATTAGCAAAATTAAAGACTAATCGTTCTCAATTTCTAAATTCAAAAGAAGTTCAAAATTTGCATCAAGAAGTTTTAACAAAAGTTAGAGAGTTAGATGATATTAGAAAGAGACAAGCAGGTGAGGATGCTGTCTATAGTAAGACCATGATTCATAATGAGGCATTGCATAATAAGGTTGATTCTTTGTTAGACGATGTGTTTCAATTGTTGTCATTGTGCTTTCTTACAGTCGGTTTGAAAAATTCAGCACCTGCCACTTATTCTTCTTTATCTACTGTTCAGAAGTTATTGGAGCATTTAGACGAATCGAATATTTTCACTAACCATGACTTGAGACCTATTAAAGATAGGTTAGATGAAATTTCAACCATTGTTGAAAACAATTCTTATAGGAATTACGATTTCGACCTCACTAATCCAGCAGATGAGACTGAAGAGAAACGTAACAAAAATAAAATTGAAGAAGATTTATTGTTACGTGCAAAGCTAAAGCACTGTCTCGATGAGTATAATAAGATACATTCAAAGCTGGAGGAAATAAGTCCAGAATTATCAAGTATAATGGAAAAATTATATCATATTAGAAGATCTCTTCTTTCCCTAGCATCTCCTTCACGTAAAATTGATACTAGAGAAGATTTCTCTCAATTCAACAGTAGTAAAGAATCACAGGAAGCCTTGAGCTCTTTAGAACAAGAATTAGAAGAATTGGAGTCTCATCGTGATGAAAATGGTAACTTTAAATCATTGGAAACAGGAGAGGTTGTATTAAAAGGTCAAAATGTTTTGGCTGGTTTAGTTGATAACTGCCATGACTTAATTAATGATTTCAATAATTCTGGTAATGGGAGCGATTTGGTTGATCCAGAATTAGAACCAATATATGATGAATTGATAAATATTAAAACAAATTTAGCTAATTTAATGATCACAAGAAGATGGACTTTGAGAGACACTGATTTATTTCAATACCAAAAGAAATTACAAGCAATTGATAATAAAAGAGTGAATGGTAAATTCCCAACAAAATCCGGTGATACTAAAGGTCAAGCAATATTGTTATATTTGTTACGTAGATGTTATGCTATCATTTACAAATTGCTAGAAAGTTCAGTTCCTGTCTCTGAATCATTACAATCTATCCATAATCAATTATCTACAGCTCGTCGTTGTTTGTTATCTTTAAAGAGAATGGGTGGTGTGAATAGTGAAAGAGAATTATATCCTTATCAATTAAAACTAGCATCCTTGGACGAATTGAGAATAGATGGGAAATTTTTTGACGCTAATGGTGAAATTCCAGAGGGTCAAGGTACATTGAATGCTTTACTAGCAGAATGTTTTGATATTATGCACGAATTAGAAATCGAAGCTGAAGAACGTGCTGATAATGAAGAGGAAGAAGAATCGGAGAATCCACAGCCAATTGCAAGAACATTTGGAGATAATGGGGATTATGAAGTGGATTACGATAATTTTGAAGAAGAAGAATAAATAGGATATCTTCAAATATGACATTTACTATTAGTTATTGGAATTTTTTTAGGATTTGAATATATTTCACATATAGAAAAATAATATTGTCAGAAATTATGAGATGACGTAAAGTCATACTCATTAATTCAATATTAATAAGGGTGAAGAATTATATGAAACATCATTATTAATAAGGGATAAAGAAATGTTTCTAATACGAAAGCATTTACTTCTGACGTGTGAATAATATCTAAACATTGTATATAAAGACTGATAAGATCTTAATTGACACTTATCATATGTACTATATTCCCATGTGTATATTTTATACTTTAATACACCGGATCAATATCATCTAATTAAAAATGTCCTTGCAAACAACTAAACAATCAACTACTATTAATGATTCTGTAAAGAATCCACAACCCTCTGATTCTCTACATGGCTTCCCCGCCAGGACACCAGATGAGGATTTGATCCACGAATCTACTGGAAACAGTAACAGTGAATTAGTATTCAAGAAAATTAAAGAACTTGAAGATGAATTTACAAAATTGCTATTGTCACCTCGAAGCAAAGAAATTATCGAGAAGAGACAAGCTATTCAGGATGAAATCTCAGATCTGAGAACATCCATAAAAGTTCTCAATGAATTGTCAAACTTTGAGGATTTGGCTGAATCTAATAATTCAGTCACAATGAAACCATCCTCTAAAAACAATAAACAAATTGGTTTTAAGCTGGTAAATAATAATGGTGAAGAAGTATCATACAATGCGCATAATGATGCTTACCCATTTGATTGGAAGTTAAAGGGTATTAAAAATTACCCAAGATGGCTTGAAGAATTTAAGAAATTTCTTGAAGCACATAACTTCGATGATATAACATATTTGTCAAATGAGACAGTTATATCAACTGCTGAGGATCATGTTCTTATGAACATACTAAGAAGTAATATTCAAGATCCAAAATTGGCAATGTTTTTAGAAACAGCCAATTCAGCAATAATCTTATTGAATAAGATTGAAAAGAAATATCAAGAAACTTTCACAATGGAGTTTAGAGAAACCTTGTGGAAGGATATTGCATTAAACAAGAATTCTTCTGATCTGGACAAACAACTTTCAGATGCTTCTATACTAATCAAATTGGATAAACACTTTGGTACTATAAATAAGTATACAATATCTGATTTACGTCAATATACTGACAAGAAAATCCTTGATCTAATTCAATTAGAACATGGAAATCCTTATAATATTGATGCTTTGTCTGTTCTTGGACATATCGAAGAAACGATTAGTGATATGAAGAAGGAAGATATCTTAAGAGGCAGAAAAAACAATAAAGAAGGGAAACCTTCTACTACCTCAAAAACCTCTAATAATCTTAGGCAATTCAAAAACAATTCGAAACCTAAGACAACCACAACATCAGTTAAAACCAAAAAATAAGTATCTTGATGTAATATTAGATTCAGCATCGCCTGTAAATATTACTCATGATAAATCACTTATTATGGACTTTAAACATTCGAAGAATCCACCAAAACTATGTGGTATGGAAAATCATCCTATTACAATTAAGGGTGAAGGATTTCTTCAAATAAAGATTGATAACAGTAATAAAACTATAAAGACGAAAGTCTATTTTTGTCCGTACGAGAGTGCAACTGTATTATCGATCGCAACATTACAGGAAGACACTGGTTATGAGCTCGAAAGAGGTTATAAATTCCTGACTAACAACATTTTAAGAATTAAGGTCTCCAAAGTGGATAAAACCCTTTGGATCAATTCAAATAACCTTTTGGTGAAAAATGAAATTAAAAATAAAACAACCAGTAATAAAACAGTCCGAGTTGTAACAAACAAAACGAAGAAGAAAGTTTCCATTCAAGAAGCACATGCAAAATTCAATCATATTGATAAGAATGTAGTTAAGGCTACCATTGAATCAGGTATTTTTGCAGATGTAGACGGTCTAAAAGAAACTAGCACTGAAATTGCTCAATATCAATGCGAAGACTGTTTAAGAGGAAAATTGAAAAACCATAATCATTACACAGGTTCCATGAATGCTCACTATGTGAATGTTCTACCAGGTGCATCATGGAGTATTGACCTTCGTGGTCCAATTGTACGTTCTCACAAGAACGTTCCTCACTACCTATTAGTGATGGTTGATAATGTATCACGCTATATGATGATTAGTACACATTTGGATAAATCATCACAATCGATACCTCGACAAATCATCAAGAAC